TCTCAACTCAACGTCTTAAACTTGCAAAATCTCAGAAAAAGACACAAGCAATACAAACACAACAACCAATTACGAAAAACAATAATTTATACGTCGGCGCCATATTATGAGAATTATATAGTATATACTCATATAGATGTTTTGGTGCTACCAGAAAAAAATATAATTTTCTACTCATTGAAAATCAAAACAAAAAGAAAACACTTATTTTTCTTTTACTGTCAAGGATATGCTAATATAATAATACAATATAATAATAATATAAAAAATACCACAGGCATAGTTATCTACCTATGGATTATTATTTCTATATTCAAAATTTCAGAGTGTAATTTATCTTTAGCAAAATCTTATGAAGCAAGACATTTATCTGACAAATGGCAATAATAAATTCAGCCCCCGTAGGTATTTCATTCTGTCCATACAGAGTTGACCGGGCCTGACGGGTACTCTCTCAGTGTTGTCGTCTGCACGGACTACTTGGGTCCTGCAGGTCTCGGGCCTCGGGGTATGCCCCCATTACCCGGGCTGTCCTCGCGGTCCATTACTATGGACCGGTCCTGGGAGCCTTTTCAGGCGTTGTTAGGTTATTTGGCTTTAGTCCGTTTGGTAGGAAAATTTTTTTCGTGGTCGGTCTGTCGGAAGACTACGAAAAAAAGGAGGTTATCTTGAGGTGTCTAAGTTGGCCTATCAGCGGCATTGTGGGTTGTTACTCGACTCTTTAATCGATATAGAGTGGAGTTCTCTTGGATAGGGTCGCCCGTCCGGTGGGCGAGTGTGTAGCGGCGCTAGGTTGTTGAGGTGTAAGTGTGGCCCGTTGTCTGCGCGGTCGAACAGTCCGCGTGCCAACCGGGCCACAATGTCCGGGATGGTTTCTATTTTTAGGTCGGCCGCTATTACGTCATTCCGGACGTAGCGACCCGCACCGACAATGGTTCCTAACGTCAAATTTTGCTGGGCCTGCAGTCGCCGCCTAAGAGGCTCGCTCAGAAGCGCGTACCAGGCCGGAGCCGCGTACGTGATGATGGGTCTTATGTACATCTTATAGATCTTCACTTTAGTCTCTAGTGGCAACTTAGATGCCAGGACCGGACGGAGCATCGCCCGCGCACATCTGGCTCTACGGACGACGAAGTCGACTTGCGCAGTCATGCGCAGCGCCGGTCGATCCGGCACCCAAGATAGGTCACGGCCTTCTCGTACGCGATCTTCTGGCCATTGAGGGTTAGCGGAGGTGGTAGGTTCCTAAGGCGGCGAGTGAGCAGAGCGGTCGTCTTACCAACGTTGACGACCATCCTCCACTCATCTAGCCATGGTGGCAACAGGTCCAGCAGATGTTGTATCCTGGCAGTGCTTATGTGGGCTCTTCTGGACGAGGTGAAGTAGGCGCTATCGTCAACAAACAGCTGCCCTGTGGAACGCCGGCTCTGATGGTTCTTGTTGCCGACTCGGCGTCCCCTACGCAGACGTAGAACTTCCTGTCTGCCAGGAAAGACGCCACTTGCCGCAACATAGCAGGAGGGACACTGGTCTGTTCTTCCAATTTGTAAAGTAGTCCAGAATGCTACACCCTGTCGAACGCCTTCTCGATATCGAGAAAGACGCCCAACGATGTGCGGCCACGGTTGTATTCGGCCGCAAGCAGGTGCAGAACTCTGGTCAGCTGTGTTGCTGTTGAGTGATCCCTCCTGAATCCGTGCTGCTCGGCCCGAAGTTGGATGCACGGACGGAGGCGTCTTAGCAACAATCTTTCTAGCAGTTTAGCTATGTGCCGTAGCAGCGTGATCGGCCTGTAGCTGGCAGCTCTACGCCTGCCCTTCTTGGGTTTCAGCAAGACGATGACTTTTCCTTTCTTCCATTCCTCCGGGAAGTGGGATGTCCGCAATATCCCATTGTAGAGTCTACCAAGCTCTACTAGGACTTTATGGGGCAGCTGTCGGAGTGCAGCGTTGGTAATCCCATCGTGCCCCGGCGTCTTCCTCGGTTGCAAGCGGGTTACTGTCCTCCACAGTTCAGCGGGGGAGATGAACCACTCTCATGCAAGCGGTGGCGCGGGCGACGACAAGAACTCCTGAACTCCGCACTTGCTGGGTTCGGCATAAATTGCTCCTCGAAGTGCTCTACTAGGATATCCGCTCTACCCTTGGCATCGTAACGACGTTCGCCGCGTTGTTGGTCAGCGGGCAAACGGGAGGTTTGGCTTTAGTTAACTGTCGGGTCAGTTTGTAGAGCGACGCATCGTGCTCTTCCGCTTTCCATATACGTCGCTCCCAGGCCTCTCCTCTGTGTGCCTGGACTGCAACCGGCAGTTCCTCCGACAAGGTGTTCAACTGCATTTTAATTCTCGGGCAGCGAGTACGCGCCCAGAGCCTCCTCAACGCTCTTTTTCTCTTGATCTGCACGCTTATCTCTCGCGGTAGATCGTCTCTCCTTGCAGATATCGGGACGATCTTAGAGGCAGCGTGGAGGGCTTCTTGTATCGCCTTGGTGATTCTGGTAGCAGCGGCCTCTACGTCGTCAGCTATGCTTAAGGGGTGGTGTGCTGGAGATCTCTCCTGCAGGTGTTGGTGGAGAGCCTCCAGCCGACACGTGTCTTAAATGCTCTGGGCGGCGTAGTCACCGCCTTTAGGCCAAGGGTAATCAAGATCGGGAGGTGCTGTGAATTAAGGTCGTACAGCACCTCTACCACTATCGGGTAGTTGACGTTTCTAGAGAGCACGATGTCCAATACATCCGGACGTTTCCGTGGATCTGTCGGAACGTGTGTAGGTTCTTCGGGACCTAAGACGTCATAGCTGTGTCTTTCAGCGTCTTCAAATAGTGCATGACCCGGCGGGTTGATCACTCTAGATCCCCACGCCGGGTGTTTGGCGTTTAAGTCCACGGCGGTGATGGTCGGTGTTTCGCCTTCCATTATCGTCCGGACGTCTGAGGAGCAGAATGGAGTCCCTGGCGGGCGGTATGCTGCGTAGGTCCTTAGTTCCTAGTCCTAGTTAGAGCGCATCGTTTGGTATTCCGGTAGATGGAGTTCTTGATGGACGATGTCCCTCCTCACTAGAACCGCCGTCCCTCTGTAGGCGGCCCCTTGAGAAGTGACCTCGTCCCTCTTGTACATATGGTAATTGGACAGCTTTACGTGCGTGTACGGATTAAGTTTAGTCTCTCCCAGCAAGATGACCTGTATGTCTTGTTGTTGGGCGACTGTGCGGAGTTCATGCAGCTTCTGCTTTATCCCATCCGGGTTCCAGTAGAGAAGGCGCAGGTTAGACTCCTCCGTAGTGCCGTGCCAGGAGGTTTGCCATCGCCTTCATCACCGCTGTAATAGGATCCGTCCCAGCTCTGATATCGGACAGGATCTGACTGCCGACTTCGATTGCTATGCCAACCAAACGTTGGATGGCGTCAGCAGTCTCGAAGCCGGCTGATGGTGTTCTTGTGGCCTGTGAAGGCGTTGGCACTGGTCTCGGGTGTTGGTGTACATCTCTTTGTGTATGGGTAGAGCGCGCTCTATATGTAGAGCGGGCTCTATTTTCCGATAGAGCCCTTTCTGGCACTCTACCCATTCTGGCTGTCTTCTGTTCTTTGGTAACCTGCGCCTGGGCTATCGTTACCGCTGGGGTTGGGGTAGAGGTTCCTGCCTGAGGGGGCTGCACCTTCTGCTTCTTCTTCCTCCCCCGCTTGCTCTTTTGTGAGGTTTGACGCTCGGTTGCGTCGTTAGCGGGGGGGCTGGGGGTACTCTCTACGCCGCGCTGCGAACGACTGGCAGGACAGGACTGTACTGGCGGGACGGGAGGTGCACTTTAGGGATGTTCGATGATCATCGATGTTTTAACATCGATGTTACCACACCATAAACATCGAAACATCGATGTTGCCACATGTCAAACATCGATGTTAATGAACCAATAATCGATTAATAAGAACTTGTGAACAATGCGAACCCGCGAAATTAATATCAACTAATCTCACATCTCCTATTAAAGTTTAAAATTTTTGAATAATTAAAGATTCCTAAATGCATCGATCACCTAAAAAATATCATTATGTTGTGTCAAACTCCCTGTAAAGTGTGAACTGTAATGTCACAGTGGTAACGGATTTCTCTTTGTTATTGTGGTATCGTTGTCGGTTATGGCCTAATAACTATTCTACATAAATTGATATTCAAATTAATTGTATTTTTCCCTTGCTGTCTATACACACATAATTTTGAAACAATATTTATCTACACAATTTGATTATATTTAGCTGTTTTTTTGAGCTTGGGATAACAAGTTTATTGTTTGCTGGAAGTTTATGAAAAAAAAAATCACTGGGAGATCGTGAGCGAAGACAGTTTCACTGCATAGTGCACTCCACAGTGCATATTATAAACGGCTGTGGATACTTACTGCTTGGGCTGCCTGATTAAAAATTGTGTGAACAAAGGTGACGGAAAAGTCTATTATTTTGTTTTTGTGAAGTTTGTTAATTTTCCCTCTATAATCATTTTTTTATTTCGCGATAGGAGTAGTTAATATAAAACCTACGTCTTAATCGTAAATTAGGATAGTAAATTTTTTAATACCAGATTTATAATTGTATAGGAACATTTAAACATCAAAATAATAATATTCAACATTATCGGCAAAATATAGAACAAATTAACTAAATATTTGTTAAGTATTTCCCATTTTTTAAATTACTGTTTCACACTAAATGTTTTATTAATCTCTTTAATCTCATTAATAATAAACTATAAATAACACTACTAATTTTTTGTTCATCTAATTTTAACCTACTAAATACAGTGCTGCATGGATCTTTTGGCACGTGGCTATAATCGGAACTAAACGCCGTCATTGCCGCCATCTTGTAAAACGTCAGTTTAGATAGCCGGCTCAAGTCGTTGTTGTATACCGTTATTTATTGCTTTTAGTGCCGTTTATAAATCTCAAAATATGCCGAAATTGATAAGAAGTGGTACTAGAGAGGTGGTGCTAAATGTGAAGAGATTTTTTATGAAGGAAAAGCAATCTAGCGCCCCTGTTATTCCATTTGAAAGAGTAAATGAGCGCGTTGCAGCTGCTACAGGTAAGTGATGCCATATATAGTATCCTTAGTTTGCTCGTTTTATTTACCAAGGATAGTGGTCATATTTTGTAGGCATATTATGAGATATATTTTCTCCTTCAAATTGATAAAAATAAATACGATTTCAGGTATATCTTTACGAACAGTTGCAAGAATTACAAATGAAGGGAAATTAGCTGAAGAATCGTCAAGTAAAATAGTAACACCGGGGAAAAAAAGAAAAACAAGGAAGGATAAAATTGTTATGGACAATTTTGATATTGGTGTTCTTAGACGAAAGATTCATGAGTTTTATTCTTGTAAAAAAGAAATACCAACAGTGAATAAGTTGCTTCGTCTACTTAAAGAAGAGATTGGATTCACTGGCAGTAGAGAAATTCTCAGACAGCACATAAAAAAGATTGGTTTTCGATATAAAAAAACTAAAAGCAATAGAAAAGTACTGATGGAACTTAACGATATAACTGCTTGGCGCGCTCTTTATCTTCAGGTAGGTGCATTTATTTTCTATTCATAATGTATTTTAAATTAAAGTGACACACTTATTCACGAGTAACATAGAATTATTTTATTTCAGACTATAAAGCGTAATGACGAGACAGAAAAATTACCAGTTGTTTACTTAGATGAGACATATATTCACTCCGGTCATACAGCTGGTAAATGTTGGCAGGATGATGATGAAGGTATTGTTTAGTTAACTATCTCATAATATTTATAGTCTAGTTAATTAGTGTTATTTGCATTTGTTAATGTACAAACGATTGATTTCAGATGGAGTATTAAAGCCTGTCTCTAAAGGACAAAGATTTATTATTGTCCATGCCGGAGGTAATGAAGGTTTTGTAAAGAATGCATGTTTGGTGTTTAAGTCGCAAACAAAAAGTGGTGATTACCATGATGATATGAATCACACAAATTTTAAAAAATGGGTTGCAGAAAAGTTAGCTCCCAATTTGACAAAACCCAGTTTAATTATAATGGACAACGCTCCATATCACAACACACGCATCAACAAACCCCCAAACACAACTACCAGAAAACCAGAAATAATTTAGTGGTTACAGAATAACAATATTGAATATTCAGAAGAATACACAAGACCACAATTGTTGGAAATTGTCAATAGATATAAGCCAGAACCAGTGTATGCTGTTGATGCTATTTTAAAAGGACTGGGTCACAAGGTAATCATGACTTAAAATACTAAATCTACTAGTAAAGTGACTTCATAAATTGTTATTTTTTATTAAAATAAATGACTATGGGTTTATTTAAAATTGCTTATTTTCTTTTTTCAGATATCGCGTTTACCACCGTATCATTGTGACCTTAATCCCATTGAAATGATCTGGGCATCAATGAAACGCAAAGTAGCTGAGGTAAATATTGGCAAACCAGCCAATCAAATGCCAGAAATGGTACAGGAAGCTTTTAATTCCATTCCCGTCGAAGAATGGCGCAATCATTGTGCCCACGTTAAGAAACATGAAGAAGAATACAGAAGTAAAGATGGATATTTGGATGCACCTTTCATCGTGGAATTATGCTCTGAGAGTGAAGAAAGTAGTGATGAAGATTCTCAAGATGAAAGTGATGAAGAATTTAATAGCATTGAACCTCTCGCCATAGTTCATGCAGAACATAATTATAGTAAAAAAATTTGAAATATTGTTTTTTATTTCGTTTACTCATTATAGTTTTCATGTTATAAATTCTGTCATCCAAATATTTCCTTCTTTTAATTTATACTACTAAGGTAACAACTAAGCATAATGCCTGCCTTATGGTAAGCCTGAGCCTGCAAAAACCATTTAACAACCTAGTTATATAACCCAACTAGCTTTCGCCACAACATCATTCCCAACGTGTATGCAAAATTTCATGATGATCGGCTCAGTAGATAGGGCGTGAAAGCGTAACAAACAAACAAGCAAACTCATTTTCGCATTTATAATATTAGTTGGGATACTGCCAAGCCCCATACTCCATAATTAAGACGAATTCCATAAAATAAAGGATTTTTTTTAGCTGGTAAACGTTAGTGAACACCCACGCCCTCATGTCAATGTCATACAAGTGCCAAATGATCCTTGTGGAACTATAGGTACATGTGCTATAACATCGATAATGGCAAACATCGATGTTTTGAGTAGGATAAACATCGAACATCGATGTTAAGGTTCGATATCAACATCGAAGTTTCTGTAACATCGAGCATCCCTAGTGCTCTTCAAATGAATGATGATATTACTATAAGTCTTAGCGTCTACTGCGCATGTACAATCAAGCAGACAAATGCAAATTGTATTATGACATTTTAATGTGTAAAAAGTCAAACGTCGACATTATAACCACACATCAAAGTCTCCATGAAAACGGAACGATATTTTTATATATCATCGTTAGATTTTAGTTGCTGCTAAATAATATTATGTATTTTATGTACACTTAGTTAAAGAAGTAAAATATTTTGTATTTGTAATTGCTGTTTTGCCTCAAGACGACAAACGTGATTTTATTGTTAATAAATGAAGAAACATGTGTTTTTTTTTCGGGACTAATTGAACCTCTCTTTTAACTTACATGATTCATGACAGTCGTCTTTCAATAGATCTTGCTAATTTTTACAAATCTCATAAAGTATTTCATACTCTTAATACCGATATCAATATTTAAGTCGTAAGTGCCAGGTTTATTGAAAAAATAATTATTTATAAATTTTTTTCAACATTGTATAACAGGTAGTCGCTAACACCACAGAATAAATAATAGTACTACGTACAGAAGTTGCATTCCTTTGATGTCGACTGCTTACCGACGTTTAATAGCCTACATAATTATTATTAATGAGATAAATCGCACACGCAAGCTAAATAAAACTTTATCGCTGCGCGCTAGTGTCTATATTACTTTGCATCTTTTTTGTCATGGCGGACTTTCCGTGGTTATCAAGGGATGTCAATAGAAAGTAAAAAATACATTGCGAAATGTTAATTATGTTACATAGGTGAACTACTAATATTCTGACTATGATTGACTAACCATACTTTCGCCCATATGTGAGTTCTGCGATGCCTAACGCATGCAAATTGCAAGGTCATTCGTCGGGAATCGTAACGCTTGGGAAAAATAGATAGATAGTGTAAACAACAAATAAACCTGAAATATACGATTTCTAATGCTGCGGCTACACTAACGAGCAACGTCAATGCCCATAAACGCAACAATTATTGCCTTAAATTTAACGCGATAAAATGAGTGGCTACACTTGAACGGTCAACGTCGTTTCCCGTTGAACGGCATTAAATTTGCCGTTGAACGGCGTTAAATTTACCGTTGAACGGCGTTAAATGTTTCGACCGGGGAAGGACCACGCTCTCACAGAATACCAGCGTAAAATAGTAGCTTAATGCTGCTGTGTTTCGTATGGTGAGTGTAGAGAACCGGAGACTCTTTTTACTGGAAACGAGGCATTCCATCTCCTCACGGGTGACAACGCATCTGCATTTTGATTCGTAATCGAGGATAGATGTAGATGTCTATAGGCTACAGCATCCACATACCATCAGGTGGACTTTGTGCTTGTTTGTCACCCTATCCTATAAAATAAAAAAAATAAACAAAGAAAAAAAGAATACAAAGAATGTTTTATTATTATTGTTTTCCCGCACCCAAATTGCACTAGAAAGACGTCCAATGGTTTAAGCTAAATAATAAAACAAACGTAAATATATTTTAATGAAATAATAACTAATAAGCCAATCATAAATACTGGTCAAGTGCGAATTAGATACACGTACCCAGGGTTTCGTACCACTGTACACTATGAATTTTTTTTTTTAACGGTGTATGTGTTTTGTGGCCACTACACGGCATTTCTCCTTAGTGTGGCCGGGCCATGACAGAAATGTGATCTATTCTATTTAGTTAAAAATCTTGTTAGTATACAAAGTTTTAATTTCAGTGTTTTATATTATTATAACTCAAAATATTTTAATTACAAAAGACAAGTATAGGTATGTAAGTAAATACTTGGATAGTGAAGTAAATTTTAACTAATTTTTGTAATGAAGTACTCAGGTATTTCTTCTGTAGACCAAATTATTACTTAATTCTTTTTTTGCTGTGAATACCTATCTAACCAAAAAATTTAATAAATTCACCTTTCATAACTTCCTTCTAAAATTCTTCGGTAACTTAAATAATGATATGAAACCTTTTGTTGGTCATTTCCTTTAGTACCCATCTAAGCAACAGTTATAGTAGGAACGACGTTTTGCTATTATAATTTATCAAATAGGTAATGTACATATTATATAATTTTTAAAATACATTAAACTTTTACAACTATTTTTACCTACAATTAAATATACTAAACACTAAACAAAAATTATTTCAACAAGTATTTACATAAAACTATTTACGTAAACAGCGTTAAAAAAAACTTCTAACATTAAATTGCCTCCAACGCGCTAGCCCTGACTGCGTTATTTCGCCCGGGCGCGTCGCGATTTTAGGTAATTATTTCACGCAGGTAGCAAGAGTGACAGAGGCCTGCTAACACTTTCGATGTCGTACGCAAGACGACACAAGTATATGCGCGGGCGACGGGACGCAGGGAGACACTACGTGGGGATAGCGCGTCGTCCGTTGCTATGGTTTCGCTTCCTGGTATATACGAGGGTGGATTGAAAAGTACTCGGCCTAATCAAGAAAATAAACACATACTAAATCAGTAATATTTTTATTTTTCTACATAATCACCATCAAGTTCAATACACTTTTGCCACCTCCCCTTCCAAGCATTTAGACCGTTGAAAAAAAATGATTCTTCCTTAGAGTCAAAATATGCGTCTACAGCTGCTTTGACCTCGTCGTTTGTCCAAAATCTTTGACCTCCCAAGTGTTTTTTTAGGTTAGGGAACAGAAAGAAGTCTGATGGTGCCAGATCAGGTGAATACGGCGTATGCGGTAACAGTTCAAAGCCACAGTTGTGAATTTCAGCCATTGACTGTACTGACGTGTGAACACGGGCGTTATCTTGATGAAACAGGACTTTTCTTCTGAGCATTCCTCGACGTTTTTCTTTTATTTCCTCTCGTAAACGACGTAATTAGGTGCAGTAGTAATCAGAGCTTATAGTCTGACCCTTTTCAAGATAATCAATCATAATCACACCTTTCGAGTCCCAGAATACTGAAGCCATCACCTTATTTGCCGACAAAATCGACTTAGCCTTTTTAGGGGGTGGTGAACCAGGTCTTCTCCACTGTTTTGATTGTTGTTTTGTTTCCGGTGTACAGTAATGAGCCCATGTTTCGTCCATAGTAACAAAACGATTCAAAAAATCATCTGCATAGGCTTCAAATAACTCCAAAAAAGTCGCGTGAAATAGTAAATTGCGTCCTTTTTTGTTCAACTGAAAGCAGTCGCGGAACCCACCTCGTAGACACCTTGTGGAAACCCAACTCGTTGACAATGATGTTTTGAGTTCGTTCATAAGAGATGCCTATAATCTCGGCTATCTCTCTAATTTTTAATCTGCGGTCTCCCATTATTAAATCAAGTACTTTTTTTAATATTTTCGTCAGTAGTTGACGTCGAAGGCCTTCCAGAGCGGGGTTCATCTTTCACACTCTCTTTACCACGCTTAAATGCTGCTATCCATTTTTTGACGGATGAATATGACAGAGCACAATCGCCTAATGTACTGACCATGTCATCATGGATGGCTTTTGATGATAGCCCCTTCTTATAGAGGTACTTAATGACGGCACGCTGCTCGATTTGCTCCATTCGCGGAAATTATGTCCGATTACTTTGTTAATAAATTTATAGAATCACAACTAATTATCGCACACGTTTCGAACTTCACACAATGAACTAGTCTGAACTAAACTAAATAATGTGGGAAGATTTGATTTTTAGAATTGAATGGATCTGTGTTAGGCCGAGTACTTTTCAATCCACCCTCGTATATATATATATATATATATATATATATATATATATATATATATATATATCACCGCACTGACACCTGTTTTACGCTTCTGCGCAGTTTCATCATTCGTGGCGCAAGCTATAAGACACATCATTTTATTTTATTGAGCGGAAGGTTGCAAAGTAACTATTAATATCTTAATATAATGGATTTATATAACGCCTTGGAATCGGCCTCTTTAATACCCCTTGGAAATGTGATACCGGAATTTCACAACTTTCACTTTACTTTTCTTAATTTCGTTTTCTTTCTTGATTTATAGCTGGAAACTGATAGCTAAACTGCTCGAAAGATTGATGGTAAGACGCCTCCACCCGTGCATCCAACTTCGGGCAGAGCAGCAAGGATTCAAGAGGGATTACTCAACAGCAACACAGCTGATCAGAGTGCTGCACATTCTTGCGGTCGAGCACAACCGCGGCTGCACATCGTTGGGCGTGTTTCTCGATATAGAGAAGGCGTTCGACAAGGTGTCACACTCTGGATTATTCTACAAGCTAGAAGGTCAGACCAGTATCCCGCCTGCTATGTTGCGTCTAGTGGCGTCATTACTCGCAGACAGGAGGTTCTACGTCTGTGTAGAGGACGCTGAATCAGCAATAAGAGCCAGCGTACCACAAGGCAGCTGTCTGTCTCCAATCCTGTACTCGGTTTATACCAACATCCCCACCCTGGCAGGTCATTTGCGCGAATGGGAGGACGACGTAGAGCTGGCGCTATTTACGGACGATAGTGCCTACTTCACCTCGTACAGAAGCGCCTACATCACCACTGCCAGGATGCAACGTCTGCTGGACCTGTTGCCACCATGGCTGGATGAGTGGAGGATGGCCGTCAACGTTGGTAAGACGACCGCTCTGCTCACTCGCCGCTACAGAATATTTCCGGATCGACAGGATGCTGCATGACCCCGCACGTCGACTTCGTCGTCCGCCAAGCCAGATATGCGCGGGCGATGCTCCGTCCAGTCCTGGCATCCAAGCTGCCGATCAAAACCAAGACCAAAATTTATAAAACCTACATCAGACCATTGCTGACATATACTGTTACAGCCTGGTACGCGCTCCTGAGCGATCGACAAAAGCGGCGACTGCAGGTTCAGCATATTTTGTCTCTACGGACCATTGTCGGTGTGGGTCACTACGTCCGGAACGACGTTATAGCGGCCAACCTGAAAATTGAAAACCTTCAAGAATTTGTGATCCAGCTGGCGCGCGGCATTTTTGACCGCGCTGACAGCGGGCCACACCAACATCTCAACGACTTCGCGCCGCTACACACACGGCCCCCGGACGGACGACCCTATTCAAGAGAACTCTTCTCTATATAGATTAGAGAGTTGAGTAAATCCCACAATGCCACAGAAAGACCAACTTTAACACAACGTAACACAAATATGATAACCTGCTTTTGCTCAAAATTTACCCGACCGCGGTCAATAGCCGCTACTTAATTTGTAATGTCTTGTACACGGCGCCCAGGACCGGCTCATTGTAGTGCGCCGAGAAGAATGCCCCGGTAAAGGGGGTATACTCCAAGGCCCGAGACTTGCTGGGCACCAGCCCACGCAGAAAACAACAAGATAGATAGTTGGAAACTGTAGCTGGTCCCGAACTGTTCCGAACGAAATAAAAATTGGGCAACTTACTAAGGTACCCCAGAGCTAAACCGTAAGGAGGAGGAGGAGGAGGTACAGTTCAAAATAAAATTATCGATACCACTACTAATACCAGGTTTCACTATCAGGGATGACCCTGATAACTTCTTAGCCCTCAAGGAACACGAATGTGTGTGGATCAAGAATTAAAGTATGAGAGATTATCGCAAAAATTTTTTTACGAATAACTGTTTTTATTTAAACAAAAAATGAATGTATAAAATACGCAACTTTGTATAATTATTGCTAAAATAATTTTATTTAATGAAAATACCATTTAAATTTTGATCACAGGTTCATTCATCACTTTAGTAATTTAATTGGAAATGATCACATCCTCATCTAGGTCGTCTAATGTAGACTCGTTATTGCTGAAAATAAATAACAAATAAAATTATTTCATAACTTTACGAAAAATGGTTTGCAATAATGAAACCTACGAATACTTTATTTTATTATATGACCATAAGTTTTATTTTTAACAGTAAAGATTTGAAGATACAGACAGCATTATTATTTCTTAACAGCTGAATAATGGTCATAATTAAGATCTCTCTTTGACCTTTCAAGGTATGGCAGTCCATGATTACCCGCGGAAGAGTAATTCGCGAACATTGTTTTAGTCAGAAGTTCTTCTTTAAAATTCTTTAAGAAGTAAATCCAACATTTCATTGTTTCTGTGTTATCACTGAAATATGAAATACAGATAAATTTTAATAAATATATAAATAACATTTAATAAATTTTTTGTGAAGCTCGACACGGAGCTAGTGACTTTTGTCATGATTGTTGGTCCGACGCACGAAATTCTTTGTCCGGCCCGGACAAAATTCCATCGTCTGTCAACACTATAACAGCCGCTAGTACCGAACGCATTTCACTTAGACGATACGCAAAGCAAAAGGCGTAGTGAGAGTGAGAGGCATGTACATATACGCGGTGAAGCCATACTGCAGCTATATTGGTACGTAGGCCGCACTGAAAGTTTTACATAACTTATTAATTAAACAAGTTATAAGTGTAATAAATCATTGGGTTACATGTACTTCGTACTAGAGAAGCTATTCCAAACAAAAAATGTACGCTACTCTACGTCTTCGCGCATACGCGGGAGACAGTAGAGCTTCGCATGCGCAGTTGATTTAAAAGCGAGCATTGCGCCTGCGCGGGCAGTGTTTGTCGTCATAGATTATACGTAAGGAGAATGATCAGTATGTAAAAATTGTAAATTTAGATTATATTGAGCACAACTTTTTTTTAATTTTCATCTATTTTGCATATGTGGTCATTAATTATAATATTACTTAATCAACAATCACAATTACATTTTAATAGTATTTTTTGAATATTTTAAAAAGTAACTATGTAAAATATAAAAACATATGGTTGGTTGTAGATATCCGGTACTTGATTTTGATAATGTTTTTAGTCTAGCGGGCTTGTTAGGGTTAAGCTTGAACCTATTACACTATTTTCAGATGTCGGAAATGCGTTTTGAATTAATTACGATAAAACAAATTTCACTAAAAATTGTGTAATAGCGAAACGCAAATATGTCAATTTGTTCTCGTATTATGAAGTAGATGTCCGGTACTTGATTTTTTAATTTTGTTTTCAATTTAGGAGGATTGTCAGGGTTAAGCTTGAACCATTTACACTATTTTTGGATTTCGGAAATGTCTTGATTAATTACGATAAAAATAAATTTCACTAAAAATTGCAATAACGAAGCGCAAATATGTCAAAAGTTAATCACTCGGACCTAGACAATCCATTTGTGGCTGGAGACGGGACTTAAATACAGCAAATTGAGTCGCAGTGGAGAGCAGTCAAGAGGTTTTTCAAAAAACAAAATCATAACAATTCACATAACATTATTTCATTTACCACTATCATAGCAGAGTTTAGGGCAATCAGACTTTATAGATAAGATTGGTCGAATCGGTTCTAAAACCGAATTAGCACATCCCGATTCCACGTAGTCTTGTCTGCCTTACCCCTAGGGTGTTTTTGTAAGCACTGAGGGAGAGCAGCCCCCGCCCGCTGTAGCAAATCGCAGGCACCAAAGTGAGCCGCAAGGCGCCGGAAGCGACCAATAAGGCGAAGCTGCGGAGGCGGGCGATTTGCTACGCAAGGGCTAAGTGGCTGCACTTCCCGCAGTGCCGAAGCCTTTGCAGAAGTAATTTTGCGTCAATATTCCTGTATAAAAAAGTGAGGTTATGATTTTACGAAAAAAGTTATTACTCATAAATTATACATTCCTGCAATGGGGAAAGAGTAGGGGGGCTTTCTATGACCCCTTCCCCTCCTCTATCCCCCTCCCAACACCGTACGTGAGTACCGGACGTCTATAGTTTACCCAAAACATACATTTATTATTATATTAATTTATTAAATTATTATGACATTTTATTTACAAATATATTTTTATTCATAATATTTTATACTAAAAAGAAAGAACAAAATAAATATTCAAAAATATAAACTGGTTATAAAAAAATTAAAAATCTATCTAAAACACCACGTCAAGTCTTTGTTCAGTAAAATATTTTACCTACACTCGGTTGTTTTGTAATGGAACATCTGCATGTTAGTCTATGATTGTAGATGGCATGGCTTTTGCATGAAGAAATATTTTTTCTATTGTGGTATTACTGTATTACGTAGGTCACTCATGGACTGGGGGCCGTTTATTTGGGTCGTTGCTCATGGGGCAATATTGCCATAGTTGCCACGCTTGGCGGGCGGGTTGGCAACTGCAGTTTTTTGAAGTATTTTTAGAGGAAAAATGATTTCGTGTGACAAAATTGCATTGCTTGCTCGTACAATCGTTGCTAATTAGGACGACGCCTTACACTTCGCATACACCTGATCCGTCATCGGCCGAAGTTCGCTCGGGTGATGGCGGAACTCGGACGATCGAATCAAACACTTGTAAAGCCGCCTCTACACGATCGGCCATGATCGACACTCGTTGATCGTCTGTAATCGGCAAGGTAATCGCCACCATCATCGTGCAAGCATCCACACGATCGTCGGTGATCATTTATTAAGCGGCAAGCATTCAAGATGGACGTGGAGTTTATAACTGCAGCTACCATTAATTTAATTTCCGTATACAATCATTATATCAATGTAGTTGAACGAAAAATTGCGAAAAAAAATGAAAGAAAAGAAGATGGTGGTATTTATCATCGTAATAGAACAAAGTAAATATACCTATACAACTTAATAGGTGATCCTACTGCCCAGTTCTCACTATAAATATTTTTTTTTATGCGCCCGAAGCAAATATGGGCAACCCTCCGGAAAGCGGGGGAGGGAGGTTGGGAATGCTCATAGCATACCACGCAGCCGGCTGCGTGGTTATGTGGAGACTTTTACCCACTAAACCCAACCTTTTTAGGAATTGGCTTAACGATCTGACTAGAGATCTCTAAGCCGTATACCCGTATACGAACGCGACCCTCCTTGGCAGAGAGGAGGGCGCAAGCGGCGAAAAGCCGCTTAGAAGAGTGCCTAACTAAGGCAGATTAAGGGATGTGTTATGTAGGCTCGGCCTGAGCCGCCAGGAGGCAGTTCAGGTCAGCCGAAAGCTTGTTGGGGGGGGTCCGAGAGAGAGTTTCTCGGTCTGCGCACACTATAGCGAGTGTGGATAGGAGCTGCATAGGCAGCTGTCTCACGAATGCGACGATTTGGGTGTGACTCTGAGGCTTTGAAAAATCTCTCAGAGAGTGATTTAAGGAACTGCTGGATTGTTGGGAGCTCTAAGTCTCGATGTAGGTCGGCATTACGGACATAATAGGGCGAGTTAGTGGCCCTACGACAGAATAGATTTTGAACTACTTGAAGTTCATTTATAGCTTTGGGCTTAGCATGTGCGAAAATGGGGGCCGCGTAGGTCATGACAGGTCGTATGCAGACCTTATATAGGGTTCGCTTGTTGCGGAGGGACATTTTACTGTGTCTGCCCAACATGCTGTTGAGCCTACCCATGTAAAAACGTGCGGTGCGAGTAACCTTCTTGATGTGGGGCTCGAAAGTGAGCCTTGCATCAAGGGTGACGCCTAAGTATTTGGCTTTAGTTTGCCATGGGACAGGGGTTCCTAACATCCTGAATGGCGGAGTGGCGGTGAGACGACGTCGTTTATATTCGAAGCAAACGGCGGAGCTTTTCTCCGGGTTTACGTCGATACGCCATTTTTGGAACCAAGCTCCTAAGTCGCTTACTGACTTTTGGATCTTGTTCCGAATCTGTGGTAGTGAGTTGCCTTTAGAGTAAAGGGCTGTGTCATCTGCAAAGAGGGCTAGTTTGACACCATTCGACGGGATAGGGATGTCGTTGGTGAATAGTATGTATAGGAGGGGAGCAAGCACAGAGCCTTGAGGGACACCGGCTTTTATTTGACGAGTAGAGGAAAGCGTGCCTTCGTGTGCGAAAGGTACGTTTAGATAGGAGGCTACAAGGCGAACGAGACGGTCCGGGAGGCCTAAGTCGTACAGTTTGTAGATAAGGCCCTCGTGCCAGACTCTGTCGAATGCCTTGGCAATGTCAAAGAAGACCGCGATGGTTTTTTGACGGCGAGGATAAAAACCGCTGAGGATGTATTCCACTATGCGGTGAACTTGCTGGGGGCACGAGTGTTTGGCTCGAAACCCGAATTGTTGTGGGATGACAAGAGGGTCGCCGTCTGTGGGAAACAAATGGCGCCTCAAGCGCACGAGAATAACTCGTTCGAAAAGTTTGCCCATGGCCTTGAGGAGGCTGATGGGACGGTGATTGGAGGGGAGGTGGCGAGGTTTACCTGGCTTGGGAATGACAATGACAGTTGCCTCTTTCCAAGAGGTGGGAAAGTAACTGAATTCGAAGCAGGCGTTAAAGATAATGGCCAGTAAGGCGATTACCTGCTCCGGGAAGTGTTTGAGGGCTTGGTTGGAGATACCATCCGCACCCGGTGCTTTTTTGGGCTTAAGTCCTTTGATGGTAGATGAAATCTCATCTTTGGACACAGTGATAGGGTCAGAGGCGGTAGGGGGCGAGTTCCTGCGTCGGACCTCGTCCTCCACTAGTTGGATGTGTAAGGGGTCAGTGGGTTGTGAGCTAGGAGAGCATTGAGCGGCGACGCTGTCAGCGAAGCACTCAGCCTTTTCTTCGTCCTCGAAGTGGACGTCGGGACGAGACAGAGGGGGAGTATGCGTTATAGCGTCTATCCGGAGGGCTCTCGCCATCCGGTAGTACGCTGTGTGGGAGGGAGAGATTTTCTCCATGAGATTGCCCTTTTCGTGGTCTCTGTAATCTTGGAGGGGGTAACGCAGTTTGCGTTGAAGGCGGTGGGCCGCGAGTCTATATTCGGGAGTGGGATAGCGTGCAGCTCTGCGGAGGGCAGCTTTTTTGGCTTTTAACAGGTTGCTAATATCTAGGGGAAGACTAGTTTTAGCAACCGGGACAACTTTTTCATTCTCTTTAAGAGAGGATGTTATAAGTGAGGTGAACTTTTCGACCGCGGTGTCTATTTTCCCCGTACTGTCAAGGGCGTCGGAAGAAAGGGTTATGGGAGGGTCCGGAGAGTCTATAGCCGAGGCTAGAGACTTCTTGAAGCCCTTGCAGTTGGTGTAGGTTTTGGAAGTGGGAGTTGGAGATGGCTGAGGGCCAAGAAGGAGGGATACAGGACGGTGGTCGGATCCTAGATCATCGAGAGACTCGATTGCTCTAAGGTTAAGGGAGACTCCTTTAACTAGAGCAAAATCTAGCACATCAGGAGCGTAGTTAACAATGTCGGGATAGTGGGTGGCAGTGAGGGGGCTGTAGACAGTCAGGTCGAGAGACTGAGTGATATTGAGCAGCATCCTGCCACTACTGGTAGTAGTGCGGCAGGTCCATTCAGTATGCTTGGAGTTAAAGTCTCCAAACATAATGACTGAGTCGCCTAATGCAAGGATGGCTTCGAAATCACTCTTAACGGGGAGGGTTCCGCTAGGGATATAGCAAGAGGCTATAATGATTGACTGGTGTCCAGTCATAGCTAATCTAGTGATAGTGGCTTCCATACTGGTAAGCGACGGAGTAGATATGTGGGAGCAATGAAGGGACTTTTTGTAATAGATGGCAGTACCGCCGCCTTTGCGGTCGGGTCTATCGTTACGTAGAAGTGAGTAATTTTTAATAGTAAGGCCTTTAGAGACCTTGGGGCTGAGATGGGTCTCCTGTAGGAGGAGGAGATCGGCTTCGCGATCTCGAAGAAATAGCCTAAGCTCTGGGAGGTTATTTCGCAGACCGCGGATATTGAATGAAACAAGCGACAAACCCTTTGGTTTGATACGACCGTGAGATATTGCGGGAGCAGAGGGCTTCGGCATAGTTTACTTACAAAGACCTTAGTAGGTTGATGTGCTCAGTAAGAGCAAGGAGACGGTCCTGAGGGGACGGAGCTGTGCGCAGTTTACGCGCAAGGATAAGGATTTCATCTAAATTGATCCTATTGAGAGTGTTATACACTAGGTTTAATGATTCTACTACAGAGTCTGTTTTTGTGGGTCGGCGGAGGGCCGCGAGATATTTGATTCCTTTTGGAACCAGGGGTTTATTGGAAGCGGCGCAGGCTGAGAGAGCGGAAGGCTCATAAGGGGCCGAGGAGGGCCCTGAGGTGGCCGATAGGGGCCCTGTGGGGGTCGGTAGATGCCCTGTGTGGGCTGAGATGAGCCCCAAGAGGGCTGAGGTAGGGGCTGGCCCTGGCTGGGCTTGCGGCTTACAAGAGCCGGGAAGGTTCGGTCATTGACCTGGGGTGGAGCTTTGCGACTCGGAGGTGGGCTAGGAGCGCGAGGGCAACCTCTAAAATTGGCCGGATGGCCTGTTTGTCCGCAAAGGACACATGAGGGTGGGGATTCGGCGTTTTTGGGCCGAGGGCACTCTTTTTGAGTGATGGGGTTCTAGGCACTTAATGCACCTGGGTGGAGCTGAGCAGTTGGCTGCCGCGTTCCCATAGAGTTGGCAGCGGTGGCACTGCGCTGGGTAGCCGCGCCGGTGTGGGGCTTCGACCTTAACACGCGACAGGCCGCACACAGTGCGTACCTCGCGGAAGATGGCCTTCGCCTCCGGCACATTGGTGAGAACGAGGAGGGCGAGGTTAAACCTTTCGCCCCTGCTGCTGTGCATTTTATGCACAGCTTCTATGGGGAAGCCTTGGGATTTAAGGTCTTCCAGAATGTCCTCGTTTGCGAGTTCATAGGGAACTCCGCGGAGGACTGCCTTGACTTTCCTTTCTTCGGCGAGGGCGTATGTATGATAGGACACACGCTCGGCCGTGAATAGGCGGGTTATGTTTCGGAAGTCTTCTATAGATGCCGCACTATTTTAATGGCCTCGCCGACGTTGGTGGCTTGGTCATATTTGAAACCCTTATCGTAGAGTGTTTTGGATATTTGAGTGAATTTGGCCTTGTCTTTGAGAAAGACAGGGGGGCGGGACTTGGTTTTTAGCCAATTTGGGAGCGCAGCGGGTTGCTGGCTTGGCGGTAGTGTCTTTCAACTGAGAGGCGGCAGCGTTTGGGGCTGCGGAAGTAGGGGCAACGATAGGAGCTGCGGAGGTAGAAGCAGCGACGGGGGGTGTGCGGGCGGCGGCGGCGGCGGCCGCTGAGGCGGGGGGAGTGCGAGAAGTGGCAGCGCGTTTCGGGCCGCGCTTTCGCAGATTTCACTAGCGTGAATTGGGCTGAGTCTGTTATGGTTCCTTCGAAGTCGGATGAATCCGAGGAGCCGGTGGAGCTGAGGGCGGTCCTCTTTCGGGAGGATGAGGTAACGGACGTGGTGTCCGAGTGCTCCATATCGGAGTCGGGGGGATGCGGGCAAGATGGTCTGCGGGGCAGCCGCTTGGGTCACGAGGAAATCCGCGACGGCGGGCGGGGGTACACGTGCCTTAGAGGCAGCGGGGGGGAAATGGCTTTGGCGAGAAGGGTCTCGTCAATTTGGGCGGTTGTGGGTATTCATGCGGCTTGGATCATTTGTACGATCGTGGCCGCAACTTGGCTCATGAGTGAGCTTATGTCTATGGAAGACATGTTGATCTGGACAGGGGGGTGACGTTTTATTCTATGAACACTAGAGGTCCCTGTTCTGAGAAGAACAGGGCCTTGGGGGCAGATGGGGAGGACTGACGATTTATTCCCAGAAGCTGGGGTCCCTATGTTCTGAAAAGAACAAGGGCTCGCTCTGAGAAGAGCAAGAGACGATCTTCTAAGAACAGTATATACAACAAATAAGTAACAGTATAACAAAAACAATAACAGAAAAATTAAAAATAAAACAAAACAAGCGAAGCGCGCTCAAGCCTCCTCGCCGGAGCAAGGGGGGCAAGAACGATGCGAAAAACAAAGTGACTCACCAACGGCGTCTGCTCGGCCGGTGTTAGCCGGGGAGAGCGGGGCGCGCGGGCGAGCGGTTGCGCTACCGAAGGGTCGGAGGCGCGAAAGAACTGTATGCACGACCGCTGGGGGGCGGCGCGCAAACGGAACTGACTATAAATATCTATTTCAGACATTTAATGGATAATCAGCTCTCTGAGCTATTGGCGCAACCTTCAAGGGCATTTGAAAACTTTCTTCGCATGTCGCTAAGCGATTTCAATTATTTAGTTGAAAAAATATCCCCATTAGTTGCAAAACAAGACACTAGGATGGATTCTATACCAGTTAAAATCCGTCTTGCTATAACTTTTTTTTCGGTTCTGATATAGTTCTATGAACTTGAATGTCTCTTCATTTGACCACCTAGTCGTCATTGTTTCGCACTCGCACTCACTTTTATTTAAAAACTTAAAAACGACGCGACGTACGCACTGCTTCTGTCCTCCGGTGAATGAATGATCGGCGATCGTGTGGGCACGCGCACGCAATTACAAGCGATTCCCTTTGATGTGTGCCCGAAAAACCGATAAGGCACCGATCGCCACGATCACGACGACGTTGAGGACGATGATGGGCAACTGCAGGTGATTAGCCCCTCTACACGATCGTGCTCGCGTGTAATCGCTCATCATGACCGATCGTGAAGAGGAGCCATAAAACAAAGAGAGCGCGTACACATGACCGTCATGTCCGATAACGCACGAAAACGGCCGATCAACCGTCGAGTCCGAACTTGTTGGGATTTTTCGCCCGACTGCCGGCGTCTACAGTGCAAATTGAGTGTATTTATGGTTTAATTTAATCATTTTGTCTTTATTCTGTCGTTTCTGTCAGTGTTGTTATCTACCTAAACGACTATGGATATTTAAATAATAAAAGTAGAAAAGAATACCGGCAACGTCCAATGTCGGCACAAGAGGTACATTGTTGCAGTGTAAGCACATACACGTCCGAGTTACTCGTCCGGCTAGTTCTGTCCGCCATCGGCCGACAAAATCGGTTTTGGTGTACACGTACCGTTAACCCATCGCACGATCTCTTTCATCGTGCGATGAAATCGCACCGTTTACTCGTACGATCGATAGACAATTAGGACGTCTACGCCTATGTCTCATAAATTTGTTATACTTAAAATATAATACATACACTTTCTTAATTTCTATATCATCTATTTCTCTTATATAATAGTTTGGGTGATCTTCTAGTATATCCAAATTGCCAAGCATTTTGTTATCCACTTCATATATTTCTCCTAAAATAATACAATTAAAAATAGTAACAGAAAAATAATTTCAAACAAATATCTTGCTCTCATAATCATTATCATCGTTTTGATCAATTAAAAGTAAATGAAAAGTGTAGAGCTTACAGGTAGTCTGCCATACTAATTCTAAGATAGAATGGCTGCAGTTGTACAAACTTCACAGGTGGATTAACAATTGACGGAGAATAGAACTGTATGATAATTTATAATTTAAGTTTCTTCTTATAAAGGTAACAAATATTGTATATGGGAATTATTTTATAGTATAGGGTGACAAACGAGCACACAGTCCACCTGATGGTGTGTGGTTGCTGTGGCCCATAGACCATAGACATCTACATTTATCCTCGATTAACAATCAAAATGGAGATGTGTTGTCACCCCTGGGGACTAAGATGGAATGCCTCGTTTCCAGTAAAAAAGGGTCTCCGGATATCTACACTCACCATACGAAACATAGCAGTATAAAGCTGCTATTTTACGCTGGTATTCTGTGAGAGCATGGTCCTTCCCCGGTCGAGCCGACCCATTCGTGCTACAACTATATTACTAATATAGCTGCAGCATGTCACGTTTAAAATTTATCTATTTAATTTAAATAAAGAATAATTTGTTGGCCATACAAATAATTGTACTTGACGGAAATCAAATCTGCGGCTCGCACCCAGCAGCCAAATACTTATAACCACAGAGTTATTTTTATAGAAGAGGGGAAAACGAGCATGCGGCTCACCTGATAGTAAGTATTAACCACCAGGGGAATTGTAAGTTTTGTTTAAAGGAGTAAGCTCGTTTGCCGTTTGTCGAACAGGAAAAAGCGCCACGAAGAAAGCTACCGGTAAATTGCACTGTGGTCGCTAGAGTAATCACTACTGTAATTAGCAAGCATCCAGATGGTGTGGATGGTATTCTGAGTTGTCGCGATATGCTATGGTAAAATTTGGCAACTAATATTAATCCGAACAATTCCTCTGAACACTCCCGGTGGTAAATGCAATAGAATGCAAAGAGAAGCAACATTCTTCGCAGCACCAGTGATTCGAGCTGATCAGAGAGAATTTGGCTGACAACAATTCAAGCTGCTCTCCGCTGGATGCGGTCAAGTGGAACCGGTAAACTAGAAGATTAAAAGCTGAGCAATACCGATAGAAATCATAATAGCGGTGACTAATCAGCTGGTGATCCTCAAGGTAACTCATAAGCTAGCAGTTCATTATGGATTCCATTATTTTGATGAATAAGGACGTGATGGCGATAGGCCTGTAGTTGGACGGGTCTAAGCGATCGCCTTTTTCGGGATCGCCGGATCGCCGTTGGGGACTACAAGGAAGGAGTGCCGGAAAAGACTATCTTCAATACAATAGGAGGGACTCCATCAGGCCGTCTCTCGACGACTCTCGTCTAGGGAGACAAGTGCTTTGCGCACAGAGCGCTGTGTAAGCCGCACATGCGACCCGGAGCACCAACACCGCGGGATGGTCGGCGTTGTGTTCACACTGTTATCGAGAGGCGAATTGGCGCAAGGGGAGAGCCTAAAAGACCTCAGTTTTCTTCTTTGCGACATAAGCCAGTGATCCGTCCTTCCCACACAGAGATGGAAGAAATGACTTACAAGAATTATCTTTGACAGGCTCGGGGAGAGACCAGAATGCACGGGTTCTAGAAGAAAGGCGGATTAGTTTATCGCCAATTCTGCCAATGTGATTTCACTTTATAGCATTGACTCTTTTGAAGGACCTGGAGACAATTATACTTCTTTTTAAGAGCACTGGTGTTTGCATTCCGGGACGTCAATACGTCTGTTTATGGTGTGATGCAATTTGACAGAAGCAACTAAACCATTCGTCCTACAGGAAAGGTGCATGATCCTCCACATCTGTAATCATCGTAGACGAAGTAACCAATTGTGTTAGACCGTATGCCAAGACAAAGTCGTAAACGATAAGTGTGACATGGATGCTCAGTGAGAAATTTTACGGAGTTAGGTATAAATGCTAGAGTAGTTTACTACTTGGTCACCATGTTATGGCGGTGAGGCTCCGATTTCCTGCACTTACCAGGCGAAATTCAGAAGTAATGAAGACTTCTACTTCAGTTCAAAAAAATGCATATACTCGTACATAATATACATAAGCACTCACGCCTGTCACCCAGAGGGGTAGACAGAGTATACAGACTTCCATTTGGCACGATCCTGGCACACCTGTCTCGCCTCTTTCACATCCATATACCTATGCATACATGCTCGTAGGTTAAGGGTACTCTTAATTTGGCCCCTTTTCGATGGATCGCCAATTTGGTCGACAAAGTTTCGGCTAGGACGTCCCTTTCCGACTCTTCCATTCACTTCTGCAACATATATTTGCTTTGTCAGTCTTTCCTCATTCATTCTTTCTACATGACCAAACCACCGAAGCATTCCTTTCTTAATCCTGGTCACCGCAAAATCTTGCAAACCTCCCCTCTTCTTTTATCACACAGTTACTCACCGTGTCACTCAGATTTAGCCTTAACATGCTCCTTAGCGACCGCATTTCTACGGCATTTATTCTACTCTCCTGCTTCTTTTGCCACACCCAACTTTCACTACCATACGTTAAAATAAGGACTAACACAGCATTGGGAATTGCCATACGTGCCTTTTTGACACATTCTGACTTTCTTGTGAAAAGTCAGAATGAGAGTGTCAGAATGAGTGAGGCCCATTTACTCTATTTCCTGCGTTCCCTCGTCGTTCTATATCATTATCATATCTCCCATCCGTGCTAAATATGCACCCCAAATATACAAACTCATCAACTTGCTCAAGTAACGCTCCTTTTATTCTTATTTCACATATCGTTTTACTTTCTTCCCTTTAAAAAACCATAACTTTCGTCTTACTTGCGTTCACTTTCATTCCCCTTTCTTTTAACGACCTTTTCATTAATGTAATCATCATTTTGCAACTCGGCCGCCGACGATGCAAATATAACTTGATCATCGACGTACAAAAGGCATTTGACGGTTACCTAACCCATTCTTAACCCGCATCTTCAGCTTTCTAATTTTTCAAACAACTGTCCATAAATAGGTTTAACAGCCACGAGGAAGCCACACAGCCCTTTCTGATACCTTTATGTATGCTAAAGCAGTGTGAGTAGCCCCCGTTGATCCTAACACAAGCACCTAACACAAGTCCCTATAAAGAGACTTCAATGCCTGTATCAACCCAGCGCTCAACCCAAATGAGTTCAGTATTTGCCATAACAAATCCCTGTCCACTCTGTCATAAGCCCTTTCCAAGTCCATGAACGCACAAAAAACTTTTTGGTTTTTGGCCAAAAACTTCTCCGCGATCATGCATGGAAAATACTTGATCTGTACACCACATCTCAAGTTTTTCCATCAGTTTCTTTCATAACTCTTTCAATTAGTATCTTAGCATAGTTTTCTCACAACAAAAATATTGACATTAAATTATTTATTTAAGTACAATCAGTAATAGGGATGGGCCGAATATGGATTTCACCGAATACGAATATTCGGCCGAATGTTCGGTAAAATTTTTACCGAACCGAATATTCGGCCGAACATTATTCGGCAGGATAACCTCGGGACCTAACCAATTTTTGTCGAAAGTTGTTACCGTAAAGCGCGCGGGATTAGCGCAGGACCCTGCCTCTCGCTCCCCGCCACACCTGACAGTTATTGCATCATCTAGTACTGAGCAAATTGCCGGCATATGCTTATGTTTTGACTATTCTTGTGATAAAAAGTATTTCGTCGTTTTATTCTTAGTTAAAGTTATAGCCAATATACCTCTCACTCCTGGGCACAGGCCTCCGCTCATTTCTGATAGGGTTTTAGGGTAAGCAAATGGACACCGCGCTGCCTCAATATGCTTGTTGACGAACTTCACATGTCTTCGAAATATATTTTTTCATATTGCTCAGACATGCAGGTTCCTCACGATGTTTTCCTTCACCGCTGAGCACGTCAGTCACAATCAGCACTTAAAATTGCAATTAACAACTTCATTGGTGCCGGCGGGGATCGATCCCGGTTTGCTTGCCGCACTGTGAAATTTACAGCGAGCGCTAACCATCTGAGCTACCACGGCTTTTTGTTCTTAGTGAATAAAGAGCCGTAAGAATTTTATTCTTAGTGAAAATTGATAATTATATGATAAAAATGAGCGGCAGGAGATTTACTATTTGGACTTATTCTAGAGAAACTGACGACCAAAGTAAAGAAAGTAGAAATAAATCCATAGTGTCTCAAAAACATAAATGTATAGATTTATGCATTTGAGGCACTCTAGAGTAAGTAGATTTAACCCATAAATAAAATATACTTTCAACAGTAAAAGACATCGCATTACTCAGTTCGTAATTTCAATACATTAGACATTATAAAAACGAATGTTCGGTGATTTAGCTGAATATTCGGCCGAATACGAATATTCGGTAAATCTACCGAATATAAAAAGAATATTCGGCCCATCTCTAATCAGTAACCATAAATAACTTTAACAACTAACTTTAATTTAAACATTAATTATTTTAATAATTACCTTCAACGTGATGTCCCAATCCAGGTTTATGTAATATAAATGGGATATTATATTTTGTTGCTATAATTAACGGATATTTTTTGATAGTTTTTCCAACAGCGATAAACTTACTAACTCCATTTTTGGAATTAGACAGCCAGTGGTGATTTGGTTCATTTCGCTTTAAAGTACCATAAACAAACACATTGTGTGTCATCTGCAAATAAATTAAACTTAATTCATAAACTGTAATGAATTTTAAAATATTCACCTATGATATTAATAGCAAAAAATGTGTTTCCTATATGTCTAGAGTTTAAAAGTGTATTTTAATAAAATCAACGATTGTATAGGCAGCAGCATCCGGTTAGTTCGGTCGCTAGTCTACCGCACGCGTACGCGCGAACCCGGGAGCCGCAAAGTTAAATACATTTGAATTTTCCTCAGAAAATGAGATAGATTGTAAAATACAACGTACAATTTAAAAATGCAGTAGAACCCCTATAGACAAGTGCATCAATTATGCAATTCACTTCAGCTATATTCCAGAAATAGTAAATGTATGAATATAGATGCCTGTTATCATTTTATTTGTGCATAAGTTTCTAAGCTATAAATTGTGTAAATATTGATAATTGATAGAATCAGTCGTTACTTTGCGGAAATACATTATAGTAAAGATATTAATATTTACGTTGCAACCGTCCGCTAAATTAAATACAATGATGTGTCTTACCTAGATGAAAGAGCACCTCCCGCCCTCCCTTAATTGCGTGCACTAATCCCGTCACCACTAATTCCAATACCGCTACCCCCAATTCCACTATTACTAGGAAAGACACACCATCGACGATAATACGACACGTGTTTCTCCTCTACACGAGGCATCTTCAGGTGACGTAGACTCTACGGCGGCTGACCGCTAAGTCACCCGACCGTGTGCACGCAATTGAGGGAGACGGGAGGTGCTCCTCAATTATAGGTAAGACACATCATTGTATTTAATTTAGCGGATGGTTGCAACGTAAATATCATAATCTTTATTTGTGTAAATATTGTTTTTATAGTATGACCTTTGATTGAATAAATGTTAATAATGTAGAGAAAAAACATAACTTTCTGTCTTTTATTCAGATTTTTTTTGACCTATACAACCTGAAGTTTTTACATTGGCTGCAACATTCACCTTAACTTTAAAAAAACATTGATTTGAAATTGGTGATAGGCACACTTTTTATTATTGTTAGGCCTTCTTTTAGCACCCCCCTGGACGAGTTTCCGCCTTGTAGTGTTGTGGGGGCGGGGGGGCTTGAAGCCGTGGCTTGGTCAGCCGCAGTGAACTAATAACTAAGAGGAACCCACATGGCTGGCCCGCGGTGTAGGGCCGACCCAAGGAGGCCACTCTGAATGAGCTTGGTGAGCCCACTTGGGATGTGTGTCGGAGGGCTGTGGTGAGAGGTATCTCTTCCTACCGCTGCAGTCGAGGTGGAGTCGCGGAAGGAGAGGAGTGTCCGCAGCAAAATTTTGGTTGGCGGCGGAGCCATAGACTAGATCTGTGAGGACGGTAGCCTGATACGATATACCGCTAGGACAAAAATGGGCCTCGACGTAGGCTTTGGAATTTATGGGGAACGCCCCAAATTCAAACTTAGTATGAATTTGGGTAGATTCACTTCTATCTTCCAGGCAGAAATTTTAAGTGTGTGGTTGTAAGTCTTAAGTGTGCGGAAATAAATCTGAAAAAAACTACGTCAATCATATAATTAATATAAACTCTGTAGTCAAGCAGCACTGCTAGCGCTGAGGTAAAACTTTGTGAACTCGAAGCTAGTTGGAAACTTTGTGAACCGTTTAAATGCCCTGGGATAGATAGAAAATTTATTTGCTTAAAAACATGGTACATAAGATGGTCAATGATGTGGAACTGACATGTTTTGCCATAATTAAGAACTACAGACCGATTTCCCGTCTGAACCGCGTCTACGTGTTGTTTTCGAGAGTCATTACATATTGTCTCTCATGCAGACTCGACGACTTCCAGTCTCCCGAACAAGCCGGTTTCCTAAAGGCTTTAGTACCATAGACCACATACATACCCTGCGGCAGATTGTACAGAAGACCGAAGAATACAATCTGCCGCAGAGTAGGGTGTTTTTCTAATCTCGTCTTACGTAAATGCTAATTTTTTTTTCCTTATTCGTCAGACATGCAGGTTTCCTCACGATGTTTTCCTTCACTGCTGAGTACGTGGTAAATCAGCACTTAAAATTGCAATTAACAATTTCATTGGTGCCAGTGGGGTTCGAACCCAGGTTACTCGCGTTCTGATATATTTACATCGAGCATCAACCAGCTGAGCTACAATGGCTCAATCGTGTAAGTCCTTGTCACATTAAAAAGATGGCTGTAACTTGTATAAAATGTGTCTCATATATTTAACAGTTTATATTTAAATTACAGAATTATTTTCATTACAAGCTATTAAAATTAAAATGTGTAGTGTTTACCGTCTTTTACCGCCTTGTGGAACGAAACGCCAAAACTGATGCTATTTTGTACAAATAGACCATAAAGATGTTTTTGAAGAATTAATTAAAGCAAAGCAATATGTGTATAAAATTGATTAATAAATTATTGATTGTATTTGATTTGTTTTATTTTAACAGTACCTATTAGGGCAGATAACAAATAAAATATGTTAGATTCAACTAATGTCAAAGAACCGAATTTAATGACCCCGACTCTACCTGGTACGAGTCTGTACTACCCTTAGAGTGTTTTTATAGAGCCAGAGGCGTGTAGGGAGAGCAGCCTCCGCCTGCTGTAACAAATCGTAGGCATCGGACAAGCTGGAATGGCTGAAGATGGTCGTGATGAGGCGAGGATGGATGCCTGCGATTTGTTACGCAAAGGCGTATGTGTTACTCTTCCCGCAGCGCCTGAGACGTTGCAGTCACAAAATAAATACAGAAATCCCTCTGAATCAGTCCCCCTATTTTTTTTCTGATGATTGGGGTCCCCTTCCGTCGGGGTTTTGGTTGTTATACTTAATATTAATCCTTAAAATAAGAAATTTTCTCGGAATTAAAAATTAAAAAACTAGTATAACCTCCGAAACTTTTCCTTTTAAGGGGAGTAGTACACCCCCCTGCCCCTCCTACCCTCAATTCGATGGAAAGGGATTGACATAAATATTGCTAAAATAATGGATTTTTAATCTTATGATAATGTAACCTTTCTGTAAAAAAATACCAACCCTCAACTCGATGGATGTCAATGGAAATACATATCCAAACAGCTTTTGCTGGTTTTTTTTTTTCGCCCGAAGCAATTATGGGCAACCCTCCGGAAAGCAGGGGAGGGAGGTTGGGAATGCTCATAGCATACCACGCAGCCGGCTGCGTGGTTATGTGGTGACTTTTACCCACTAAACCCAACCTTTTAGGAATTGGCTAACGATCTGACTAGAGATCTCTAAGCCGTATACGAACGCGACCCTCCCTTTTGCTGGTATGACCATATTATGCAGGCATGGTTTACTGGCTTAGATCCCTGTGTTAGTTGTTCTTTATGTGGTAATGTCATGCTGCAGCACTGAGTATAGCACGAAAGGGTCGGCTCGACCAGAAAAGGACCACACTCTTTAACAAAATACCAGCTTCATATTGCCGTGTATCGTATAGTGAGTATAGAGAACCGGAGACCCATTTTATTGGAATCGAGGCATTCCATCATTCATCATTCCATCCTCAGGGGTGACAATGCAGCTGCATTTTGATTTTTAATCGTGGTTAAATGTAGACGTCTATGGACCACAGCATTCACTTACCATCAGGCGGACTTTCTGCTCGTTTGCCACCCTTATTCTATAAAATAAAAAGTTGTCATATTTGGTTTTAAATACATTTACATCAGATATAATATATTATGGCAGCAAGTTCCCGTTGTAGATCACACTGTTACCAAGGAAATTATGTGCAGCAAAAGAGTTGGCAAAATCGCACTCTAGCCTCACATAGTGGCTAAAAGATGGTTTTCGATGTTCTTTCTTTATGACGATAATATGTACTATAAAATGTTCACAAATAAAAAAACTAATACCTGTATTAGGATTTTTACTTGTAAATTTAAAAATAAAGAGGATGCAATGCATATATGGACACCTAAAAGATAGATAAAAAAACTAACAAGCACATGTTACATTCTGACATGTTTTTGATAGATCATTTTTGTAGAGTAGATTCTACTACAAACCTGCACTTTTTTAGGTAACAATTGTTCTTACACAGTTCACAATATACTTTTTTCAGTAATGTGTTCAAAAGTTGAAATTTTTCAACTTCAATGTTAAATACTGAAGAGAAGCTTGATTAGTCAACCCTACTGATAAGAGGGCTACAGCAGTCTATCTATGACACCTGCAACGCACTTCGGTGCTACAGATTTGTTGTCACATCTTGAGATGGAATGCCTTACACACTGTAACTATACTGGCTTTCTATACTCTTCAGATCGCACGCACTGCTAGTCCCACCATCTAGAAAGACTACCACTCTCTAAATTTCTCCTCTTTTCCTCTTTAAATCTTAATATTCTACTTGTGGCCTCATTTCAATGATAAATTATTGTGCATGATAAGTGTGAAACGTATTTGTGCAAAAGTAAATATTATTTCAGAATTACATTCTATTAGTAATGTGTATTTAATATTTTATTTTAATTATGTAGGTACTTCAAAATTAACAATATAACTCACGTTTTTTTGACATAAAATTGTAGAAAAGCAGCAAGTTTTTTTTAAACTTAAAGTTGTTCTGGATATCATTGACTGTTACTTCTTTCAGGTATATACAAAATAATCTCTCTGTAGTTACTACTATGTATTTCAGAAGTTCAAAAAATTATCATTATCAAATTCAAATTATTATCTAAATATATAGGTAACTATCAGTGTTTCTAATTTCAGATTTTAATTTTCCCATAGATTTTTTGACAATAGTCAACCAAATCTAAGAAATACCTTTTGACGTTTCACAATCTCACAATAATCATTCTGCAATAACTTTGCACCAGCGTACTCACACGATTTAAAATAATCTTTTACGTAAATCCAAATAATTTTTAACTTATCTATATTTCATTACAACGTATCTAGTTTTTTTATCACTAATTTAAATTTGAATTCTTCAAACAAAGCAAAATATTAAAAAATAACCAGTGTTAACTTTTTTTACATGACGTCGTTTCAATGATATGTCGCTGTGTATCTTTAAACTTTAAACCGTAGTGTTTAGATAATTCAAATTCATTGTTATGCGAATAATTCGCAAAATTTTCAAATAATCGGTAAAAATTTTCAAATAATCGAATCATTAATTTTTTAATGTATTATTTGTTTAATTTCTTTTTGGTTTTTCTCCCCCCCTACCATTTTTTTTTTTGTGGGGCTCCCGTGCGCTTGTGCAACATTACTTGTCTTATTTAATTTTTATTTTCAAAATTCCTTAAATTACATGAATCATGAATAAAACATGTTTTTTTTTACTTTCTCAAAGTGAATTGTGGCCAAGGTGTACAAGGCGGTGCTAAAATAACCACTACATAATTTCAATATCCCGCCATTTCCGTACCAGGTACTCGACTCCACAAAGTCATCAATAATTCATTCTGGGGGCGATGTATACGCTTTTACAACAAAATTCCAGAAACAATACAAAATTTGACATAAGTGCAAAAAGTTCAAAAACTTTATTAGTTTGTATAAAAAGGGTTATTTTAATATTAAGGAATTTATGGATGATAATAACCCCTGGGAAGGGTGATCGCTAATAAGTTATTTCTAATTTGTTTTGTGTTCTTAATTGTAACACGCGTGATTGTAAGCATTTATTTTTAAAAAAGCTAGTCCCGTTGGGTTTCTTGCTGGTTCTTCCCAGGACAGAGGTTTTTTGCGAACCAGTGGTAAATAAAAAAATTGACTTTCAGTAAGTATTATTCATAATCTACATTGAATAAACAAGTTTCTCTTTCTGTTTCGAGGGCTTACTGTGCGTAATTTTGTGATTCGGCTTTAACTATATATATATATATACAATATCTAACGTAATTAACGCACACCCTCAGACACCCCAATTAGTATCGCCAATCGCCATACCAATACTCCTCTTCCCTGACGACTCCACCTCGACTACAGCAGTACAGGGAGAGGAATCTCCTCTAGCCACATCCCACTAACACACATCCAACGTGGCTCGATATCGTAAGGCGACCTTTCGACACTTGGCTATGGCCTTTGAGTTTGTGGGAAAATGAGGAAAGAAGAAATAAAAAAACATTCGAAATAATAATCTAATACTTTTATACTTACTGGTACTGGTACCACCAGAAAATATTGTCGGAATATTGCACCTTTTCGAAGTGGTGCAGTTCTCATATCTAATAAAACAGTCGTTTATGAAATTTTGAGAACAAATATGATCAATTTGTTTCGGACGCCAATTCAGTATATTTATGCTTTTAAGCCATAATTTTAGTCTCGATTCAGTTGGAAACCTGTTTTTTTTTAAGTTTATTTGGGACAACAAACAATAGTACAATAATTATTACAAAGAATAGAAGCTTAAATTAGAATTTGAATGGTTAATTGTACAATCAACAACGTTATCCACGTCTTACTTAGTTTTGCTTAGTACAAACAAAATTAAACTTATACAATATATTTATTCATAGTAAAAGTAACATATTAATAAAGAAAAAAATCATAACATATATGTTATTTTATTTTGCCAAAATATCTATATCTAAAAACTTACATGACCGTCGGAGCGGCAAGCTCCAACGGCGAACACATATCGTAAGCGTACACAGCGTAAGTTATTATGGCGAGGTAGTATTAATCCTATCTGGATAAAAGCGCTGGGCAATCAAATTTATTATGACAAATATTAAACAAAAACATAGCCTGTAATAATAAACGTCTCGATCTCACTGTGACTTAGTTATATTTAACCATTGACTTATATATTACTAGCGTATATTTAACACGAAGTTTATCATATGAAAGGGTAAAATATTTAGGTCGATAATGCATGGTGTGTAAAAACTTGCTTTGAACTCTTTCTATGGCTTCACTATATTTTGCATAGTAGGGGTCCCATATAACACAAGCATATTCTAATTGCGGCTGAATCAAGGACTTATGCAAATACAAATATGTTGAAGCCTTCTTGAATTTTTTGATGATCTCATGACAAGACCATAAAGTTGGTATGCTTTGCTTATAATTTTTTCTAAATGTAAATCGAAGTGGAGTTTTTGGTCCAAAATTACACCAAGATCTCGAAAAAAAGAGGCTCTATGCAACAGTTTGTCTCAGAGGGTATAGTTGAATTTAACCACTTTTTTGTTTTTTATAAAAGATATTGTTAGACACTTTGGGATACTAAGATAAAGTTTATTTTTTACACAATACAAACTCAAATTCTTAAGATCTTCTTCAAACAAGAAGTAAACAATCATTTACATTTTTTATAATTTTATAAGCCCTTAGATCATCAGCATATAATAAAAAATTTGAGTGCCTAAAACAACCGTTTATGTCATTTATAAAAAGGATGAACAGCAACGGACCAAGGATAGATCCTTGTGGCACACCAGACGTTTACTGTTATTGTATTGGAACAGTGGCAACTGTCTGTCAAATATATATAAAGAAAACCATTTTAATAGATTGCCTCTTATTCCATTAAATGCTATTTTTTAAGAAGTAGTTCATGGTCAACTTTGTCAAACGCTTTATGGAAATTTGTATTTACAGTATCTGTTTGTATTCGATTATCGATGTTAAAAAAATAGCTCACCAACAAAAAGAGCCAAGTTAGTTATAGTTGATCTTTTGTTAGTTATAGTTGATGTTTTACGAAGCCACGTTGCTCTGGTATGATAATGTTATGAATAATTGGACAGATTTCATTATGTACTAATCTTTCACAAAGTTTTGATGCAGTACATAAGATTGAAATTGGACGATAGTTTTCAATGTTATGCTTTGTTTGACCCATTTTTATCTACGGGAACGACTTTAGCACGCTTCCAGATATTAGAAAAAGTTTCCTCTCGCATGCATTTATTAAACAAAATATGGAGAGGCACACATATATTATCTTTGGTTTGAGAAAAAATATTGCGGGAAGGCCATCAGGCCCAGATCCTTTAGAGGTGTCTAAAGATTTTATAGCATTGTAACCTTATCAATGTTAAAATTAATTTCATTTATAAGAACACCATTATCAGCAAAGTTAGTTGGTGGTGTCCACGTATTTAGACATAAAGTTGAAACTTCGTAAACAGATTGAAAAAGGGAGGAGAACATGTTACAAATTTCATCAGGATCGCACGAAGACTTGCCTTTAAAAATCATATTTAAAGGAAAACCTGTCCTACCTCTATTATGAGATACAAAAGTCCAAAAGTATTTTATATTATGAGGAACAGCATCCTCAAGTGTTTCCATATATTTAACATATGCTTTTTTGCACTGGTCACGAAATCTTAATCTAAACATAGAAAATGTTTCATAGTCTGATATGTGATTGTATTTTTTCCCTTTAACCCATGCTTTCTTTTTACTTTTAAAGATAAGAATTAAAGAAGGTGAAAACAACTTAGGATATTTTGGTGGTCTTGATACGGAGAGGGGTATAAGCTCTTTAACAATTCCATTTATAATTTCGTAAAAAGTATTTGTAGCTTGTTCTAACGAGAGTGGGCAAAGTAATTGTTCCCAATTAATATTCTTCAATCTAGAGTTAATTAATTCATAATTTGCCCTATGGTAATTATATTAACGGTTTCGGCAACGTTTCATAGAGGAAATTTTACTTTCAAGGGGAATAAAAGTGCAAAATGGTGGATGATAATCATCTACCCGTATTAAAGTTTCTTGAGGTAGCAGTACAGAACACTGCTTATTCGAAATAAACAAGTCTAAAATGTTGTGTTTAGAGTTTCGAAAAGTATTGAATTGTAAAGCATTTAAAAAAGATAGGAGACAATTCATTTGTAAGCAAGTAGATGATGTACCAGTATAAACTAATCCCTGCCCAGTGCCACTAGGGATCCAATCAACATCAGGTAAGTTGTAATCACACAGTACAAAGAAATTATCAAATTGGGAATCTGCATATATATTTTGAATCGTATTCAGATGCAATTCAAATATTACTTTATCAAGATTACGTGGTAAATAAGCGGCACTAATGAAATGCTTAGTTTTACTATCAGAACTGTAGAAAGAAATTAAAACATGTTCTAGATATTTAGACAAACTTGTTTCATTGGACAATGAGAAAATGTTGGTTTTAGGCTTTGCAGGACAGCTATCAGTACACCACCATCATCAGATTTATTACTTAAGATGCGATCTCGATCACAACGAAAAACAACATAACGTTGGTCTATAAATTCATTATCACATATGTCAGAGGTAAGCCAGGTTTCTGTTAATACTATAGTATCGTAACAGTTACTAAAAATATTCATATATAACGTGTGTAATTTTGTACGTAAACCTCTGCAGTTTTGATAATAAATACAAATATTGTTATCCATCTTATATTACCTTTCTTATTGTTACAAGCTTGAGGTTCGTGACAATAAAAAACTGCCGATTGAAATTTATACTTTTATTACCGAACACCAATTAAAACTTAAAAGATACTAATAATTAATCACAATGATTCACTTTGTTTCGCTGCGAAGCTTCGCTTGTCTCGCCAAATTCAATACTGCCCCGACCGCGTCTTGCAGCGCCTTTAAATACACATT